AGAGACTTAAATGTTAGACCGAATACCATAAAAATCCTAGAGGAAAACCTAGGTAGTACCATTCAGGACATAGGCATGGGCAAAGACTTCATGTCTAAAACACCAAAAGCAACGGCAGCAAAAGCCAAAATTGACAAATGGGATCTCATTAAACTAAAGAGCTTCTGCACAGCAAAAGAAACTACCATCAGAGTGAACAGGCAACCTACAGAATGGGAGAAAATTTTTGCAATCTACTCATCTGACAAAGGGCTAATATCCAGAACCTACAAAGAACTCAAACAAATTTACAAGAAAAAAAAAACAACCCCATCGAAAAGTGGGCAAAGGATATGAACAGACATTTCTCAAAAGAAGACATTCATACAGCCAACAGACACATGAAAAAATGCTCATCATCACTGGCCATCAGAGAAATGCAAATCAAAACCACAATGAGATACCATCTCACACCAGTTAGAATGGCGATCATTAAAAAGTCAGGAAACAACAGGTGCTGGAGAGGATGTGGAGAAATAGGAACACTTTTACACTGTTGGTGGGATTGTAAACTAGTTCAACCATTATGGAAAACAGTATGGCGATTCCTCAAGGATCTAGAACTAGATGTACCATATGACCCAGCCATCCCATTACTGGGTATATACCCAAAGGATTATAAATTATGCTGCTATAAAGACACATGCACATGTATGTTTATTGCAGCACTATTCACAATAGCAAAGACTTGGAATCAACCCAAATGTTCATCAGTGATAGATTGGATTAAGAAAATGTGGCACATATACACCATGGAATACTATGCAGCCATCAAAAAGGATGAGTTTGTGTCCTTTGTAGGGACATGGATGCAGCTGGAAACCATCATTCTTAGCAAACTATCACAAGAACAGAAAACCAAACACCGCATGTTCTCACTCATAGGTGGGAACTGAACACTGAGATCACTTGGACTCGGGAAGGGGAACATCACACACCGGGGCCTATCATGGGGAGGGGGAAGGGGGGAGGGATTGCATTGGGAGTTATACCTGATGTAAATGACGAGTTGATGGGTGCAGCACAGCAACATGGCACAAGTATACATATGTAACAAACCTGCACATTATGCACATGTACCCTACAACTTAAAGTATAATAATAATAAATAAATTAAAAAAAAAAAGAAATTGAACAATTAGAAAAAAATGAAAACTATAATGTTAAGTCTTTCAATTCATGGACATCATGTATCTTTCTATTTATTAAATCCTTTGTTTTTTTTAAATTTTGTAATATTCATTATACAAATCTTGAACATGTCTTGCTAAGATTATATCTAAGTATCTCATTTTCTCTGGAGCAATTATAAATGATATAGTTTTAAATATAATTTTCTAGAATATGAAACTTTGTTTTATTTGTGTTGACCTTTTATTCTGTGATCATACTGAATTTACTTATTAATTCACAGAGGTTACTAAAACTTTTTTGAATTGTCTTTGTTTTTTATCATGTCAGTGAAGATAAGGGTGATTATATTTCTTTCCAATCAGTATACCTTCTTCCTTCCTTCTTCCTTCCTTCTTTTTTTACTTTTTACAGTATCTAAAACTTTTAGTACTATGTCCTATAAGAGTTACAAGGGCATACACACTTGCCATAGGATGGATCTTAAAAAACAGTGATTTACTTTTTCAATGCTAACTATGATATTAACTATATTTTATTTAAGATGACTTTTAGAAAACTGATATAGATCTCTTTTATTACTAACTTACTGAGATTTCTAATCATAAATTGGTATTATGCTGTGTTAAATGCTTTTTTTGTGTGTCATTTGATGTGATTATGTAATTTTCCTTCTTTAGCTTGTCCATGTAGTAGATTACATCAAACGATTTTGGAATTTTTAACCAGCCTTGCATACTTGGAGTCACACTTGGCCATGATGCATATTTGTTTTTTACATTGTTGGGTTGATTTGCTAATCTTTTTTTTTTTTTTTTTTTTTTTTGAGAATATGGTGTCTGAATTCACAAGAGATATTGGCTCATAGTTGTATTAATTTCCTAGGACTGCCATAATAAATTATCCCCAACTGGGTGGCATAAAATAGCAGAAATTTATTCTTTCACAGTTCTGGAGACAAGAAGTTCAAAATCAAGGTGTTGAAAGGGACATGCTCCCTCTGATAGCTCTAGGGGAATTCTATAAACTAAATCATGTGCCCTGAGCATTCATATATTGGAGTCCTAATCCCAATTTTATGGTGTTTTGAGATGATCCCTTTGGGACATAATCAACTTTACATGAGATCGTAAAGGTGGAGGCCTCCTGCCAATTTTTTCTGTTTTAGTCCAGGAGGACCCATTCCAGATTTCTGAATTCCAAAACTGTAAAATAATACATTTACGTTGTGGTAATCCACAATGTTTGTGGTAATTTGTTACAGCAGCAATAAGAAATTAATACAGTAACTTAAGAATTTGAGGAGGAAGTTATTTATATTACAATGTTGATCTTTCTTTCCTAAAGTTCCAGACCTTCTTTTCTCATAATTATTATTTTTTTTTTTTCTGTTTGGAGAGATCCTATTTCTTGTGGGTACATCTACTGGTGACAGTTTTAGTTTTCCTACATCTCAGAATGTCTTTATTTCATTTTCATATCTAAAGTTGAGTTTCACCATATATAAAATTGGCAGTTTACGGTTCTGTTTTTATAGCATTTGAAAAATGTGTCATTTCCTTCTAACCTGCATATTTTGAGATTAAAAAATAGGCTGTCATTCAAATGGGTGTTCACTTACAGATAATCTCTGGCTGCTTTTAATTTTTTTTTTTTTTTTTTTTTTTTTAGTTTTCAGAAATTTAATTGTGATATATCTTAGCATAAATGTTTTGGGCTTCTATTTAGGATTCATTCACCTTATTCAATTTGTAGTTTTATGTCTTTTGTCAAATTTTTGAAAATTTTAGCCATTATTTCTTGTAATACTTTTTCAACTCATATTACTCTTTCTCCTCCCTTTCTGATATTCCAATAATATGACCTTTGGATATTTTTTATCAACCCCCAGATGCCTGAGGCATTGTTCTTTTTTTTTCTAGTTTCACTTTTTTGTTGTTCAGATAAAGCACATTGTTTTCTTGTATTATCAGATTCCCTAATTTTATTTTCTGTCACCACTGTAGTATTGGTCTCATCTAATGGCTATTAAGAATTCCATAATTTCCATTCCATTCTTTTAAATAATTTTTATATCGTTGCTAACATTTTCAATTTTTTCATTTATTTCAAGAGTATTTTTAATTACTTGTTGAAGGAATTGTATGATGGCTGCCCTAGAAGTGTTGTTAAATAGTTCCAACATCTGATTCAGCTTGCTATTGGCATCAGTTGATTGTTTTCTCTCACATAAGGCATGACTCCTCTGGAATTTGCTATGATATGTGTCTTTCTATTATATTTGGAGCATTTCAAATGTTATATTAGAAGAGTGTTAATAATATTTAAATATTATATTGTAGCAGGTACTCTGTTTAGGTTTAAGTTGTAGGTTCTGATTTTTGTGATCTGTATTTCTAATGATGACTTCATTTTCTGAGCACTTGCAGTGCTGATCTGGCTTGCTTTTTCCTGGCTCTGTTTGAGCTCCTTCTGGATTCCTAACGATGCTTCTTTCAGTAATGGAAGTCACTTCATTTGATGTTCTGGTCATTTGATATAGGATGGGTTATGACAGACCTGTAGAAGGGATAGCATTTCCCTAGGTCTGTTTTGAGGTCACCTGGTCCTGGTGGGCTCTCAGCTCTATCACTGTTGTACTACTGGTGGATGGAAACATCTACCTGGGCTAATTTATGTCTGTGTGTGGAAGGCCAGGAGATTAGGAATATAAATGGTTCTCTGCCATTTTATGAAAGGTCAGGAGACCTCAAATCTAAATTACCTTATGTCATTGAGTGGATGGCTATGAAATACTTGGCCTGGGTTTTCTTCTGCCACTCCTGGAAAGCCAGGAGTCACTGGGACTGCATGGCTTTCTGTTGTTGGATGAAAGATTTAAAAATGCCTTTCCTGGAACATATTTTGCCATTCATTGAAGGGTCAGAAGACACTGCATGGTTGGCACTCCTAGTGTGAGTAAAGAGGCTGCTGCTTTCAGTGGAGATAGAGCATAGCGTAGTGGGCCTGTCCCAATTCTGCTGTTGTGTCTGCTGCTGGCAGGTCAGGTCCACTGCTCTCAGCAGGCATGGGATGTAATATGGCCAGACTCAAATGAGTTCTGCTGGTACTGCTGCTATAGCCAGATCACCTCTATTTCTAGGTGTGGGTCACTTTACTACATTCCTGGCAAACTTTCTCTCTCCCAGTCTTCTGGCAAAAACAAAACAAGCAAAATAAAAAAAACCTTTTTTCTCCTTCTCCTTTTCTTTCTCCTTCTACTCCTCTCTTCTTCTTCCTACTCTTCTTCTTCTTCTTCTTCTTCTTCTTCTTCTTCTTCTTCTTCTTCTTCTTCTTCTTCTTCTTCTTCTTCTTCTTCTTCTTCTTCTTCTTCTTCTTCTTCTTCCTCTTCCTCTTCCTCTTCCTCTTCCTCTTCCTCCTCCTCCTCTTCTTCTTTCTTCTTCTGTCTATGCCTATTGGCACTTCTAAGTTGCAGAGTCTGGAGGAGCTCAATCTGGTATATGTGGGAGATTTTAAAAATTCCAGAAAAATTCATTTCAGTGTCATGATATAAGTCCTCAAAGACTAGTCAGTTCACACTTTTTTCACCGTTCACAGTCCTAGATAATATCTGTCCAGTTATTTCTAGGGTATTTTGTGTATTCGGAAGCATAAGGAAAAGAGAACCTATGTCATCTTATATCAGAACAAAAACTACCTGAATATTCATTTTTATATTTAATCCTATATGTGTACATATTCTATCTTATATGTGATGGTTTGAATATGTCCCTCAAAGTCTATGTGTTGGAAACTTAATCCTCGATGCAACAGTGTTGAGAGGTGAGATCTTTAAAGGGTAATTACATCATGAAACTTCTGCCCCATGAGTGGTTTAATGCCATTATCATAGGAATGAGTTAGTTATCTCAAGGGTGGGTCCTGATAGAAGAATAAATTTGAACTGCTTCCATTCTCTCTCTCATGGATGCGCCTTTGCCCTTCTGTCTTTCCACCATGGATGACTCAGCAAGAGGCCCTTGACAGCTGCTGGCACCTTGATATTGGACTTCTTGGCCTTCAGGACTGTGAGAAATATTTTTTTCTTTATAAATAATCCAGTTTGAGGTAGTCTATGAAATAAATAGAAAACAGGCTAAGACACTACTACATATATTTAATATTAATATTTTATCTTAAATAATTACAAATATGTGTTTTGTGATACATTATTCTGCATAATGTTGAAAGAACACTAAATATGTCCCATATTCTAAGTAAATTTAGTTACATAATAACAAAAAGGGAAGACTCTTAACACTTGTAGTTTGTGGATGAGAAAATTGAGAAACATATATTAAGTTACTTTCCCAAGTTTATATGATGACTAGTTCATATAGCTAGATAAACTTAGACCAACATGCAGTCTATCCAGTACATTGTTTAACCTATTATTTACATATTTTGGAAACAAGAATATGCTGAAAGATCCTAGAATTAACGAAATTGATTCCAATTTCTTATTTCTTAATCAAACTTAGTAATTGAGTTTTGCCTAGACCAGCTTGGTCGGGGAGACCCTAACCCAGCCATGCTAGAGGAATTAAAGACACACACACAGAAATATAGAGTATCGAGTGGGGAATCCGGGGACTCACAGCCTTCAGAGCTGAGACCCCCCAAACAGAGTTTGACCCACATATTTATTGACAGCCAGCTAGTGATAAGCATTATTTCTATAGATTATAGATTAACTAAAAGTATTCCTTACGGAAAACAAAGAGATGGGCCAAAACAAAGGGATGAGCTCTGGTTAGTTATTTGCAACAGGAACATATCCTTAAGGCACAGGTCACTCATGCTATTGTTTGTGGTTTAGGAACACTTTTAAGCGGTTTTCCGCCCTGGGTGGGCCAGGTGTTCCTTACCATCATTCTGGTAAACCCACAACCTTCAGCGTGGGCGTCATGGCCATCATGAACATGTCACAGTGCTGCAGAGGTTTTGTTTATGGCCAGTTTTGGGGCCAGTTTATGACCAGATTTGGGGGCCTGTTCCCAACAGAGTTTGTTGTTGTTGTTGCTTGTTGGTTTATTTTCCAAAAACTGGGAAAAGAAAGGTCTAGGTCTAGCATCAGATGGTACTTGCTGGTCAAAGCATTTAAAAAAATGTTTTGATTTTTTATTAGAGATATTCATACTATTTTTGAAGATAAAAATAGTGCCAGAAGTAGGTTGATCCAAATTTTTATGGATATGCACCCTGGCCAGATTGATAGGATTGATGTCAACTCTAACTGTAATGTAAATAATTTCCTCCAATAATATGGATTGAATTTTTTTAATATTCTAAAATTTAAAGAAATGTGCTTAATTCAACAGAAGGATTATAAAAATAAGGACCTTTTAAAATTTTTGAAATACTAAGAAATAATTACAATTATTTGTGAAAATTTGTACACTTCAGAATAATATTTATGTGTTGAAAGAGAAATAAATAATCTAGCTTTTGAGAAAGTTGCTATTAACACATAGTAAAATATTTAATTCCATGATAGACAGATTCTCTAAATATTACTTCTCGATGTCTTAAATCTGAGCCTATAACGAGGTCACAGGTGACTATACCAATGCTTGTGCAATCTTCATATAGTTAGTTTTCTCTAACTGCATATCTTTGTCATTCATTTGTACTATTTTTCCCTTGGAGCTGACCTGATGTAGAGAGATATTATAATCCACCTCAGTAGGACATTGAACAATCAGTGGCCAGAGGACATTAAAATTAGAGTCAAATAGAATATTTGTTGCTTTCATTATAATTGCCTAATCAGTGAGGGATGTACTAGAATAATTAGCCTTTAATTCTCTAAATTGGAAGAGGAGCACATAGGATCCTCCCACAACCTTCTTTCTAACAGACTCCACCTGCTAAAACCGCATGAAAGCCAACTAAACCAAACTGGTCTCAAATAATCCTAACAAACAATAATTACAATATATAATTACAATCATATAATTTTGCTTAAATGTCTCTAGTGATTCTGCATAGAATATTACAAATACCTCACAAATCTCAATCTGTCAGTGTTTCCCCACATTTGTAAAGCATCGCACATCCTGTTGGGTACAGAATATAGATTTTCTAGGGGGCATGTCAAAAGTTAAAGCAGCAGAAAAACATTTTTTAACAACTGACTTCACTTATCAAACAGCAGAACCTGAAAAAGGTCTCTGGCACCTGAAATCATTTAATGTTTTTATGGCAGTGATAAAAATCACTTCAGGTGTTGCTGCAGCAACAGCTTTGAAAGCAATAGAGTTCCGACGTCGAGAAGATCCATCAAAAATAAATCAAACCTTGTTTCACTGGTGCCAAAGGAAGTGTGTGTAATGGAAAGTTATTAAGACCAAATCCATGTGCAGGCTTTGGCCCTAGCACAGGGCCCTCTTGCCTGAGTATTCCCCAATCAATCACTATCCCTCTCTTTGTTTCTTCTTGATATTATCAGGAGACTCATGGGCTGTAGATTACAAAAGGTAGGTGCTTTAAGGCTCTGGGAGCCTTTTCTAGAGTACCATTTTGCCATCACATTACATACATACACACACACACACACACACAGAAAAAGACAGATGAGTAAGAGAGGGAAAGTTGCTGCAAATAGTTTCATAGAATCTATAAGCCAGGAATGTTTAACGTCTACTAATTTCTAAAATATTTAATGTAAGTAATCTTATTTAATATTCACAAAATCCTAGGTATGATGCTGAAGAAATGTTTTCTTAATCTCACTTTGCATACCAAATATCAAAGCTCATAGAAGTTATGTGTTTTATAAAATGTACGAAACTAACCAATGATGGAATTAGTTTAATATGCATTCTTCAATGTCATCTTATATATTCCCTCCATTAAACTTTTCTAACTTTAAAGCTAAGTTAAAAAAAAAAAAAACCTGTGGGTGTGTATTTTTAAAATAGAAATAATTTCTATATAAAAGTAATTTTCTGAAAAGTGTTGACATTCATTTTTAAAAGTACATTATTATTTAAAACTAAGCATACTCTGTAATAACTTTTAAAAATCATAAAAACAAAGTAAAAAAGAGTATCTGCTGAGAAAAATACAAAATTAAAATGGAGCTCAAGTTAACATGACCGAATTGTCACTAAATTCTAATCATCATTGCTCACAATGACTATGTAGCTGATTGCTAATAGGACAAGTTCACTTTGGTTGCATATGCCTAAATCCATGTTTGACTATGTGATATCTCAATTTTCTACCTTTTGTCTCTCTTTGGAATACATGAAACCCGTATTTCTATGTTATGCTGTGGTGTGCCATCAGCGAGCCTTTGGTTTATGTTTGTGAATCTGCCTCTTTTCCTTTTGTATTGTCCCCTGATAAGTAGTTCTACTTAGTTCTAATATGATTCTAAGTACAGATAGTTGAGTAATATTTATTTACAACATAGTCACCAGAAGATACATATGAGATATACACACATATATTTGAGTGTACATATGCAAAATATGACCTATATAGTCATATATTTTTGAAATTATAACTAAAATGAAAATGTAATATGAGAAAACAAATCTTGAAGGCCTTCAGGCCCCAGAAAATAAATCAGGGAGCAACATCTGTCCACAGATTCCAGTTTGAGAAAATTCCGCAATAAGTTAATGAGAAAACACAGTGACATTTTTTATACCATTTCTTACCAATTTTATCCAAATGCTCAATTTTACAATTTAATTGGAACTATTACTATAAGTAATCTATTTGATGATCTAGACTTATGGCTATAAACATCATGTCCAGGTGCCCTGTTATGTAATACTAGGTTATTCATCAGAAAGCTACCGTCAATGTGGCTTTCTATGATCAACTTCTACCAACTCTCCAGTTTAGAATATTTTCTAGGTAGCGGTCCTAAATGCTGATTTTACATTCAAATAACCTAAAGAGGTTTAAATAACGATCATACTCAAGTCCCATCTTCAAAGATTCTTATTTAATTGGTCACAAGTGGGACCTGGGCATAAGTTTCTTTTAAATAGTTCCCTGAAAATTCTATTGTAAAGTCAGAATTAAGAATAATTGTTCTAGTTAATCGAGAAAAAAAAAAGTCTTTAAAATAAAATATATCATAGAAAGTTTTAAATACCCATCTTTTCTCATGTTATTCATTTTCTTACTTGTGCATACCCATTCTTAGAGGCTAACTTACATATCCCGAAATATTCAGGTCAAATGACAATACCCTGAGACACCTTCCTACAACAATGTAGACTGCATTGATTATTCTCTTTACTTTTCTCATGGCACTTAAAACTAACCAAATAATAAAGCATATATTGTAATATTTTAATCCCTTCTGTATGTATCTGTAATCCAGTAAGCCTATGACTATAAGCTTGGGCCATGTAAGGGGCCATAATTCCAATAACATGTATTAGACATTTGCCAGGGATTTTCCTGAATGACTGAAACATGGAGAAAATTTTAAAAATCATAAATCAATAAGTATTTTTAAATACCACATTATTTTAATCCAGTGTTGTTCTCAGGCTCTACCTGGGGATACAGAGTCATTTGCATCTACATTGAATAGGCAATAGCTACTTTTATCATTGCTTCTGTATATCCTTATTGTTCATTATCGCTTCTCATTAGATCAGCTTTACACAGGCTCTGCCTACATTCTTTAGTACTTTATTTAGTACTACCTACAAGAGAACTAAGTTTGCTAAACTAGCAAATAATTTTACTTTATCAAACTGAAGCTTTTTTGATATAAAAGTATTTGTCTTCAGTGGTATCTATTTTTACATATTACATATGTTATCACTCATTTGCATTTTTTTGCATTCTGTGTCATTGAGATAACTAGAAGCCCAGACAGTAGATAAGAGTGTTTTCCTGTGTTACGGTCTTCTCAAATTACCCCTGCTACTAAAAGAAGAAAAGGAAATTCATAGAGAATTCAGAGGCTAGTGCCCAGCCTTATGAAGAATGCACAATAGCAAATTCTCTCAATGTCACCTCATCACTGGATTTTTTATATCAACCTATTTAAAATAGCACTCTCCTACTTTGGTACTCCCTAACCACATTTTGTGTTTTATTTTTCTCTGTAGTTCTCATGATCTTCTATATTGCTTGCCTAGGTCTACCCTAACTAAATACTACCAATTGCATGTTTCAAAGCAACAGAAATTTATTCTTTCACAGTTCTGGAGGCAAGAATTTTAAATCAAGGTGTCAGAAAACTCATGCTTTCCCACTCAAGAATCTAGAAAGAATCCTTCCTTTCTTCTTCTGGCTTCTGTCAGTTCCAGGCAATCCTTGGTGTTCCCTGGTCTGTAAGATGCACCACTCCAAATCTCCCTCCACCTTCAGGTCCTCCTCTGTGTGTCCTCCTCCTTACTCATAAGGACACATACCACTGGACTTAGGTCCCCCCGCCAGTCCAGTATTACTTATCTTTACTTGATTACATCAGTCAAGTCCCTATTTCCAAATAAGGTCACATCCTGATGTTTCAGATGGACAAGAATTTATGGGAGATAGTATTCAAACTACTACACTACCTGATATACAAAGTGTGTTATATATTTACTTACTTGTTGTCTTACCACACTAGAATACATTCATGAGGACAGGGACTTTATTTTTCTTCTTCATTCATGGTAATGTTCCCAGAGCCTACAGTGATATTCAGTAAATTATTATTGTTTTCAAATAAAAGGAAACATTGTAATCCTGTAGTCCAAGCATTATTTAGGAATTATATTCCTTTTGTGAGTCAATATTATAAACCATAAATCAGAATTCATACCCATAGGACCAAGTATGTCAGTATAAGACTTTAAATTATCAGCATTTTCCCGATTACACTGTGTTATACAGATTGCCCATGCTCAGGAATGATTATCTTAGTTGCTAAATATACTCATTTACAGAATCTTGACCTTAAATCTTATTATATCAACACTTCCCTTGTTTGCAACACTCTTTTCTCTTTTCCTTTCTTGTATTCTCAAAAATCTCTCATCTCCTATCATTTCCTAGGACCAGCCAGGGTCAAGACCAATCTAAAGAATAAAAGTGAAGTTGAACTTTATCCACAAAATAGGCCAAGTACATTTCTACACTTCTAAGTCACAGACAACGATATTGAGACACAAATTATTGTGTCTCCTCTCATACTCCCAGTTTGAAAATCTGATTCTAAATATAGGAAAATTCTCTATTCTCATCACTATGACTTTCATTTTAATCAATGTGGTTATCAGCACAGTGGAGCATCTGAAGTAATACATGAATATTTCAATAGGATAAATGAATAAAATAGATTTTTCAAACAAGGCAATTTTAAAACCATTTATTTAACAAAAGAGAAATGATTTTAAGGTTTACATAAAGTGGAATGGTTTCATACTTTTAGTTTTTTCTTGTCCCACCACCAATTCAATTAGTTTAATATCCAACTCACAATAATGTATAACATCAAAAGAGAAAAATATCAAATTGGATATTTAAGCGGATTTACACTGAACATATTGTGAATATTGAACAATTCCTTCAAATAACCAACAAGAAACTGAATATTATAAAGGTGTCATATAATATACATATTTAAATATATTATAGAATTCTTAAGAAAAATAGACTATAAAAATATTTCATATGACATCATTTCTAATCTATGCTAAAGACCACATTGGAAGTCTCAAAAATTTCCTTGCCAGTAGGGAATATTTTAGGTTCTGTATAGAATACAAATAGACCAATTATCTATGGGTATGGAATTTCTCAGATAAATCAGTAAAATATTTGTCACCAGATTTCTGAGAGCAGCTTAGCTGGGTGGTTCTGGCTCAAGATTTCTCATGAGATTGCAGTAAAGCTGTTGGCCAGGACTTCAGTCAAATGAATACTCAACTGGGGCTCAACAAATGCTACAACTCTGCTTCCCGTCTCACTCAGACTGCTGTTGGCAGAACTTGTTCCCCTTTGGCTGTTGGGTAGAGACATCAGTTCCTTGACTTGTGAACCTCTTCCTAGTCAGTCATGAATATCCTTATGACAGCACAGCTGGCTTCCTCCAGAGCAAGTCATGAGATAGAGAGAAAGCAAGTGCAACTAAGTGTCTTTTATAGTGTAACCTCAGGAGTAACATATCATTTCTTTTGCCATATACAATTGAACACACAGACCACCCTGGTACAACATGGAGGCTGGAAATATACAAGTGTATGCACACCATGAGTTGGGAGTCTTTCAGGGCCATCTTAGAGGCTGGCCATCACGCACATGAAACTACATTTTGGACAGGACAATTATATATTGCACAGGAATATCCTGTGTATTCAAGGATGCTACCATTTCTGGGGGCTGGGCATGGCGGCTTATGTCTGTAATCCAAGCACTTTGGAAGGCCACGGTGTGTGAATCACTAGAGGTCAGGAGTTCGAGACCAATCTGGCCAACATGGTGAAACCCCATCTCTACTGAAAATACAAAAATCAGTCAATCGTGGTGGTGTACACCTGTAATCCCAGCTACTGGGGAGGCTGAGGCGTGAGAATCACTTGAACCCAGGAGATGGATGTTGGAGTGAGCTGAGACTGTGTCACTGCACTGCAGCCTGTGTTACAGCGTGAAACTCTGTCTCAAAAGAAAAAAAAGTTACCATTTCTATCCTCTCCATCTCTGTGTTCTTCCCCATGAAATTGAATGACAGTCATTGTAGAAATAAGAAATTCCCTCTGACATTTCCAAAATCTTTTCAGTAGAAAGCAATAGGTGAAATGGGAGCTTCTGTTTGTCTTCAGATGCTGCTTTTTAATAAAGGAGTCTCTGTGAACCTATTAGAAATGCAAGAGAAGTTTATGTGAATTAGTCAGCAGATCCTTATTTAGAAGCAAGTCAGCCAGCCTGAGCTCCCCACCCCATGTCTAGGTGCATCAGAGTGTTCAGAAAGGTGATTCATTGTGGCAGCAGGAATGTCTAATGATGTGCGTAGCTCATTTAATATTTAATAGAATATCCTATACATGAATCGCTGTAAGATACACTCCTATGTAACAATGTCTGTGTCTATTTTCCCATTGTTCTTCATCAAACAACATTAGCGTAGAGTCCCTCAATTCCACCTACTGTAACAAAGCTGTGATTATTAAATCAATAAGTCCTTAGCCTGTTCAAATTCTATTTACAAAAGTCTTTACCACAGTGGTGTCTACAGACTTCAAATTATTTTTCCTTTTTAAAACAAATAAAAGTTCAGGGATTACATTTGTTTTCCTCTGTCAGAATAATGAAACAATAAATCATTTATTTCAAATCTATTTTACAAGTAACATACTCATATTCCTTGACATATGCTTGCATGTCAGATACCAAAGAGCACAATTTTTCAATCACTCACTCATTTCTTCATTTATCCAGAATCAAATACATTTATTCAATAAATAAAATATATTTATTCAATATTCTGACTACTTCAGAACCCCCTGTTAGATACCGACTAGGTTACCAAGATTGATCTCATCTGGATTCTTCCCCCCAAAAGATCTGTACTCTCCTAAAGAATGTTCATAATGTGTCATGATTACAAGGGAATTCATTACATTCTTAATCAAAGGCTAGCTCAGGTAAAATGTAGACAAAAATCATTCTCAGATCTGTATTACCATGAAAGTCCCAATAGACGTACAACAGAAATTTCTTTAGAGTTTTAAATATTCAGGTATTTGAAATGAAGAAACAAATTATTCATTAATATTGAATGCATAAGAACTACTAGACCAAAGTAAATGTTCTTTTATCAGGAGTTTTTCTTTATGGCACCAGGTTGACTTAAAGTTATGTTATTTGAAATGGACAATTTCATGCCTTCTTAGGTAACAACAATGTAGTGCAGTGCTAGAACCAGTATATGTGGCTTACAATACCTAATTGCTGGTTTTTAAAACTCTCGAAGTTGTTTGCTGCTGCATTTATAGCTTGAAATCAACTTTGGTGGGAATAATTACATCATGAAAATGCAGAAATACTACAAACCGTAGCCTCCGAAGTAGCTGGGACTACAGGTGCCTGCCACCACGCCCAGCTAATTTTTGTTTTGTTTTGTTTTGTTTTGTTTTTTGGTATTTTTAGAAGAGACAGAGTTTCACTGTGTTATCCAGGATGGTCTCTATCTCCTGACCTCGTGATCTGCCCACCTTGGCCTCCCAAAGTGTTGGGATTACAGGCATGAGCCACCGTGCCCGGCCTAAACCAGAGATTTTTTAAAAATTCCTTTCAGAGAGCTTGTTGTTAGACATTTACCAGCACACGACTGAAGCAATCTTTCTAGTCTTAAATTTGTGACCAAATGAGATAGGGCCATTCTAGTATCACACTCAATATCATGTCATTTTCTTTAGTTTCATGGCAAGACCATTACCCTCACCAACCAAAAGGATAATAATTTTCAGTCCAAAGGAATAAAGCATTCCAACATCATTCAGGATATATATTTGGGATATATTATACTCCAGAAAATCAATCAGAGTATTCAAGAAAGAAAATTATCAATAAAAGTGTCTCTTTCATTTGTCTTCAGTGTGATAAATACTTCAGATCAGTGAAAATAAAAAACACAAAAGAGAAAATAATTCGTGGATGAATATTTGGATAGATCAAATTTTATCACTTCTCTTTTAGGTAGAGAGTAAGGGTTATTATTGCTGCTGCAAATTGGCCTCAAAATACTAGAGAACAAGGAGCTATCATCATAAAACATGTAGTTTTACTATTGTTTTATTAAAATAATAAGTTACTGGGCCCTCGACAGAACCTGTATGTCTTCTGTTAGGTAGTTATAAAATATAAGTTTATGAATGTACATTTATTCAAAACTACCTTCATTTCTCTGAGCAATCAATATCACTATTTTCTTCATATATTTTGAAAATAAAAGAAGGAAAGGAAATGTTTGCCAAAAACTGTATTACTATGATTTTAAGACCTTGATTATGAATACACCTGGGTCAGAAAATTTCAGTTAATGGTTCCCAGAGTGAAAATAGCTCTGGCAAGCTACATGTAGTATATATAAAAAGACATACACATTAGAGTATATATGCAGTGCCAAAATGCTCCATCTGTGCACAGGGGCAGAGTTACTGTTGCTGCGGGAGATATAACTTTCTAATGTACTTACTTCCATGTCTTTCAAAATTTTACTATACTGAAGACTTTTGTTCTTACAGTTAATATATTTTAATATTGGAAATTTCAAATACAATATAGAAATACTGAATCTAATAAGCTTTTTAATAAAATTTTAACCCCTAAACTTACAAATGGATGACCACAGACAAAATAGATAAGTAGAAAATCAAGGTATTGAACATGAACACTTCCCACTCATAAAGCATGTAGGAATTTATTTTATATGAAATAAAATACATATAAGATGTTTATCTGTATCCAGAACCTAATTAACAATCCTGAAGTTTCTATTCCAAATAATGACAGAGTTCTTCAATCTATCATTGTCATTTTGAATTTACCATATTTTTAAAAGAATGACTTAAACCCTGTGGAGAAGCAATTGCTACTAACTGAAGTGCTGGCATTACATGTAATATTGTTGTCTTACAAATGTTGTTATACCCAAAATTACCTTTCATATTATCACCTTGCATTAAAGTTTTTCTTCATGTAGTTGTCACTCCCCAATAGTTTTTAGGTCCCTTTAAATTAAACAATTTTCATAGTTCACTTTTACTTATTGAGCCCCTAGCATCCCCTGATACATAACATTTATAAGCATTTTGATGAAATGTATAAAGTCAGTAATGTAATTTGGGATCTATAGGTTTTTAAAAACCTAGAAATTTTTGAATTCCATATTTATAATCAGTATTTGTGCACTGTAATTATTCATTTTCCTCAGTAGCAGTTCTTGCAAGATAAGTCAGTGTCTCTTTATGAACAAAAAAAACACAAGGTCTATGGGACTTACCTTGGCCAATACGAGCTTGTAGTTGGGGGAAGAAGAAATACATGAGTTTAGTGTCCTTTTTTAGCCATTCATGTACTGGCAGCACTCATTGTTTCCACATAGAAACCTAAAGAATTGGCATGGGAAAGAATAAGGAAACAAGTAATAGAGTGAGAAGGGAAAGCATGTTTTTATTTATATATATATACACACACATATATATATATATAGAGAGAATATATATGTATATACATACATTTACACATATATACACATTATATATGTATATAATATATATTTATATATTTTATATATGTATATATATTATATATGTATATGTATGTGTGTGTGTACATATATATATATATAAAAAACAATGAGAGAATGTAGGAAGCCAGAAGCAAGAAGGGTCAGAGAGAAATAAAAAAGCATGCAGGATGCCAAAGCTCTGTAAACTCACTGACCTTAAGGCCTACTTTTAAATTATCATTACTTAATCCAGATAAATGTTCCATTTCTTTCCATCTGCAAATGTTTTCATGAGTTTGTATGGAAAAAATATATATAACTATAGAAGAGTACACACATGCACATGTACACACACATACACACACATTATTAGTGTATTCTCGCACTACTATAAATAAATACCTGAGACCGGGTAATTTACTAAGAAAAGATGTTTCATTGGCTCATGATTCTGTAGTCTGTACAGGAAACATGGCAGGATCTGCTTCTGGAGAGGCCTCAGGAAACTTACAATCACGGCAAAAGATGAAGGAAAAGCAGGCATGTCTTATATGGCAGGAGCAGGAGGAAGAGAGAGAGTTGGAATGTGCCACAAACTTTGAAATGACCAGATCTCATGAGCACTCTACTACGAGAACAGCACTAGGAGAAACTGCCACCACGATTCAGTCATCTCCCACCAGACCCTGCCTTCAGCATTGGGGATTAATAGTTCAACATGAGATTTGCAGGGGACACAGATCCAAACCATATCATGTGTGTAGTAAATTAAATAGAGTGTATGCCTTTTACCTTTCCATTCCACAGCACATGCTATTAATTGGATGAATGTCAATCCTATCTATAGATTTGGAAGTCAGAAAAACAAGATAACTAAGATATGTCTTTTACTGAATATAATAAATTAGTAAACAAGAAAGTGAGTTTCAAAAATCTTTAGTGATTTGTTCTTTTATGAACTTCTGTTGACAGGTAATCACTACACTCAAAACACGCATATGCATGCACACACACACAAATTCCATGTAAATAAATTTTAGTGAACAATGAACAGAATTATAGTAGCCATAGATTAACATAATGCTTGTTTGTAATTACGTCATTGTATTTCAACATAATCAAATACTATTTACTTTCCTTCAGTAAAATAGATATTTCTAGATGACCTCATCATCCTTTTTTTTCAATGTTTTGATCAACACAAATCCCGTATTTAAATATTTGATCTTTTGACAAGATAATATTTCCTTTTCAGTTTGTTCTAAAACCTTAGATCTAGGTTCTTATAGATTAAGTAGTGACTTTAGAACGACTACACATTGAGATTTAAAAGAACTTTCATCTCCTCTGAGGCATTGGTGAAGTTCATGGATTCTGAAATCAGTTTAGGATTCTCCATCTACAGTCACCCAGTCACGTGGATAACTATTGACAAATTATTTAACTTTTCTGCCTTTAGTTTCCTCTTTGTAAATTGAGAATTATAATATTACTTATCTCTATGGTTGTAGAGGTCAACTATTTACATTAGTTCCTCACACATAATAATGAGTCTAAAATATTGCTTTTATCTTTATTAGTCTTATCTATTACAGTAGCATCAAATTATTTTTGAGAACATACAGTCAAGAAATAATGAGTAATTTCTGAAAGATTATAGAATTTATTAGTGGCACAAATAGCACTAGAAACTAGACAATGTATTATCCAGAACTTGGAAAAACAGAAAAAAGAAAGGAGAAACGTAAGAAAGATGTGTACCCATTTTGCTGTTTGTAGTGGTGGTTTCTCATAAGCATGATTTAATCTCATAATTTGAAAATACTTTGTATATACAGGTAGTTTTATTGAGCTTGATGCACAGAGCAAAACTAACAATGCAATAAATAAATAAATATATTTTAAATATATACCTGAGACTTGTAAACTGCAAAAATTGGTTTGGGTGAAGAAGATTAAACATATAGAATCTCTCAGGGGCATTGGTGGCTTTTATACATATATTTTTTTTTCCAAAGTAAGTTAGGCAACAATGGTCTCTTCTTTGTGTTGGTCAAAATCATCCAAAAATGTTTCTCAAAATCTCTAAGAAACTTACATGACTGGAAGAATCTATTTTCAAAGTTAAAGACATGCTCAACAATGCACTGTTTAAATCCATATCAGTAATGGTCATTTTTGAATAAAAATGTTAAGAGCTAAATAAACTATCAAAAAGCTTATCCACCATGATCAAGTGGGCTTCATCCCTGGGATGCAAGGCTGGTTCAACATTCGCAAATCAATAAACATAATCCAGCATATAAACAGAACCAAAGACAAGAACCACATGATTATCTCAATAGATGCAGAAAAGGCTTTTGACAAAATTCAACAGCCCTTCATGCTAAAAACGCTCAATAAATTCGGTATTGATGGAACGTACCTCAAAATAATAAGAGCTATTTATGACAAACCCACAGCCAATATCATACTGAATGGGCAAAAACTGGAAAAATTCCCTTTGAAAACTGGCACAAGACAGGCATGCCCTCTCTCACCACTTCCTATTCAACATAGTGTTGGAAGTTCTGGCTAGGGCAATCAGGCAAGAGAAAGAAATCAAGGGTATTCAGTTAGGAAAAGAAGAAGTCAAATTGTCCCTGTTTGCAGATGACATGATTGTATATTTAGAAAACCCCATTGTCTCAGCCCAAAATCTCCTTAAGCTGATAAGCAACTTCAGCAAAGTCTCAGGATACAAATTAATGTGCAAAAATCACAAGCATTCTTATACACCAGTAACAGACAAACAGAGAGCCAAATCAGGAATGAACTTCCATTCACAATTGCTTCAAAGAGCATAAAACACCTAGGAATCCAACTTACAAGGGATGTAAAGGACCTCTTCAAGGAGAACTACAAACCACTGTTCAGTGAAATAAAAGAGGACACAAACAAATGGAAGAACATACCATGCTCATGGATAGGAAGAATCAATATAGTGAAAATGGCCATACTGCTCAAGGTAATTTATAGATTCAATGCCATCCCCATCAAGCTACCAATGAGTTTCTTCACAGAATTGGAAAAAACTGCTTTAAAGTTCATATGGAATCAAAAAAGAGCCCGCATCTCCAAGACAATCCTAAGTCAAAAGAACAAAGCTGGAGGCATCACGCTACCTGACTTCAAACTATACTACAAGGCTACAGTAACCAAAACAGCATGGTACTGGTACCAAAACAGAGATATAGACCAATGGAACAGAACAGAGTCCTCAGAAATAATACCACACATCTACAGCCATCTGATCTTTGACAAACCTGAGAGAAACAAGAAATGGGGAAAGGATTCCCTGTTTAATAAATGGTGCTGGGAAAATTGGCTAGCCATAAGTAGAAAGCTGAAACTGGATCCTTTCCTTACTCCTTATACAAAAATTAATTCAAGATGGATTAGAGACTTAAATGTTAGACCGAATACCATAAAAATCCTAGAGGAAAACCTAGGTAGTACCATTCAGGACATAGGCATGGGCAAAGACTTCATGTCTAAAACACCAAAAGCAACGGCAGCAAAAGCCAAAATTGACAAATGGGATCTCATTAAACTAAAGAGCTTCTGCACAGCAAAAGAAACTACCATCAGGGTGAACAGGCAACCTACAGAATGGGAGAAAAGTTTTGCAATCTACTCATCTGACAAAGGGCTAATATCCAGAACCTACAAAGAACTCAAACAAATTTACAAGAAAAAAACAAACAACCCCATCAAAAAGTGGGCAAAGGATATGAACAGACATTTCTCAAAACAAGACATTCATAGAGCCAACAGACACATGAAAAAATGCTCATCATCACTGGCCATCAGAGAAATGCAAATCAAAACCACAATGAGATACCATCTCACACCAGTTAGAATGGCGATCATTAAAAAGTCAGGAAACAACAGGTGCTGGAGAGGATGTGGAGAAATAGGAACACTTTTACACTGTTGGTGGGATTGTAAACTAGTTCAACCATTATGGAAAACAGTATGGCGATTCCTCAAGGATCTAGAACTTGATGTACCATATGACCCAGCCATCCCATTACTGGGTATATACCCAAAGGATTATAAATTATGCTGCTATAAAGACACATACACACGTATGTTTATTGCAGCACTATTCACAATAGCAAAGACTTGGAATCAACCCAAATGTCCATCAGTGACAGACTGGATTAAGAAAATGTGGCACATATGCACCATGGAATACTATGCAGCCATAAAAAAGGATGAGTCTGAGTCCTTTGTAGGGACTTGGATGCAGCTGGAATCCATCATTCTTAGCAAACTATCACAAGAACAGAAAACCAAACACCGCATGTTCTCACTCGTAGGTGGGAACTGAACAATGAGATCACTCGGACTCAGGAAGGGGAACATCACACACCGGGGCCTATTATGGGGAGGGGGGAGGGGGGAGGGATTGCATTGGGAGTTATACCTGATGTAAATGACGAGTTGATGGGTGCAGCACAGCAACATGGCACAAGTATACATATGTAACAAACCTGCACGTTATGCACATGTACCCTTCAACTTAAAGTATAATAATAATAAATAAATTAAAAAAAAAAAAGAACTTCTGCACAGCAAAAGAAACTACCATCAGAGTGAACAGGCAACCTACAGAATGGGAGAAAAGTTTTGCAATCTACTCATCTGACAAAGGGCTAATATCCAGAACCTACAAAGAACTCAAACAAATTTACAAGAAAAAGCAAACAATCTCATCAAAAAGTGGGCAAAGGATATGAACAGACATTTCTCAAAAGAAGACATGCATACAGCCAACAGACACATGAAAAAAATGCTCCTCATCACTGGCCATCAGAGAAATGCAAATCAAAACCACAATGAGATACCATCTCACACCAGTTAGAATGGCAATCATTAAAAAGTCAGGAAACAACAGGTGCTGGAGAGGATGTGGAGAAATAGGAATACTTTTACACTGTTGGTGGGATTGTAAACTAGTTCAACCATTATGGAAATCCTTTTTTCAAATTTTATATTCATTTTTACAAAGGTTTGCATGTTTCACAAAGCTTAAAACAGACAAAACCTTCAATTTTCTATGTCAACAGATAGGAATAGACATCTAGACAATTCAAAGAGTGTTTAGATTTTTTTCTAGTCAGTTTATTTATATAATTATATATTTGTTCATGCTAATATTAGTTGGAATTGTGATTGCCTGGATAAATATTGTCTAGGAGGCAGGAAACAGCTGGAATATATTTGAAATAAGGCATGAATTAAAACTTCACCACTTTTAACTCTCTGCACGGATGATCAAAAGTCAGCAACATGTATTTACCTTCTGGTGTGTGTATGGCTTCTTCTGTGGCCAAATACCTTTAAGGGTTTCCAGTGTTTGGAAGAAAAGTCATTTATTTATTCATTCAACACTCATTTATTGAAATATTTTAGTCATTGGCTTAAGGGATGCACAGATGAATAAGGTACTGATTATATATAAAATGTTATGAAGATTACATAACATTTTAGAAGAACATATAAGAAAATAAATTATAATACAACAAGCAAGTGTTATAAAAGGACAAGAAACAAGTTGGTTTACAGTTTAGATATTGGATTAGTTGATGAGATATGGTGGAAAACATGCTTCACAAAGTTAATTTTAAACTAAAACTTAAAAAATAGCTTCCCAACATCAAAAGGAGGAAATAAAATATGCAAGTAGTTACAGTAATCAAAGGAATGTCTTCATTTAGCAAAGTTTGAGAAGTGTGGAAAGAATGAGGAATAGGTAAATGATAGGAAAACTGAGATGGAGAGAAACATGGAGTCAGACTGGGGAGATAGCATATCGTATGCTACCAGTTAATTTAGTCAGACCTTAATTAACTGGTAGGATAGGAAAAAGTATTTAAAGTAATCAGTATTTGAAATTCAGCACCAATTTTTTTGTTTTTCCAAAGTTTAGTAAAATCCTTAATTGCAGTCCTCAGCTCAGCTCTAGATGTTTAGTTTCTACTGATCTTCTATTTGGTACAGCAATTTTAAGAGAATATTTAGAAATATGACTGTTGTTCATTTAGGATGCTAAAGAAAGGAGGAGAATGAAGAGAGAAATATAAGTGGGTGCTGAAGATAAAGTTAGTGAATGGTAGGGAATCAGACCCTCATCCCCACAAAGAGTTTTGCTGAGCCCAGTCCACTCTTCTGCATGTGCTGTAGGTTACCTTTCTGAGGAAAGTATTCCACCTCATATTTCTCTCCAGTTTCATGAGACAAGAGCAACTACAACCTTATCATTGGTCTGTAAACAGATGTCTTAACACCAAACCATTTTGTCAACAGTTTACGGGTAAGACAATTGCTAAGCAACTGTAGAACCTGAGGTCAATGAGAAGTTAGAGTCAGGCACAATACTTCTTGTTAGAGGGAAAAAAACAAACAAACAAAACCAAAAAACACCAAGGTTAAATGAAACTTATCCTGCTAGTAAAGCAGAATTCCTAGTCCCAAGAACCTCTCTGTTACAAAAAATCAAAGTGAGATTGCAGGCCCAGTTCAACGGCTCATACTCACAATCCCAGCATTTTCAGAGCCTGAGGAGGAGGACCACTTGAGGCCAGGAGTTTGAGATCAACCTGGGCAACATAGCAAGACCACATTATCTGCTAAAAATAAAAAATAAAAAAATAGCCAAGTATAGTGGCATGCACCTGTAGTCCTAGCTACTCAGGAGGCTGAGGCAGGAGGATCTCTTGAGCCTAGGAGTTTGAGGTTATAGTGAGCAATGCTCTTACTACTACGGTACAGCCTGGGTGATAGAGTGAGACTCCTCTCAAAAAAAATCAATGAATGAATAATTTAAAAGAATTTTTTAAAAATTTAAGTAAGATTTCAAGTTTATTTTCAATCTCCTTATTATATCATGGTGCATTCCCTGATGCTCAATGCTTGTCAAATACATTCAGTTTATCTTGGGAATTATCCTGTCCCTATATGAAACAGAAAAAAGAGTGATTACTGACAGTGATCTGTTTGCACATCATTATTTCTTGGGGTTCAGATAGGGCGTCAAATATGTTTATATCTAATCAATAGAGATTTTTTGGCCTTTCTCAGGGGGAGAGGCAGATATTTTGTGTCTTTAGAATAATAAGTGACCTTCTTGAGATGTCTATTTTAATAGAGGAATGTTCCTAATTTAGTCTTTTGACTTCTCCTTATGAATCCATAGGTCCTGCTGTCCCCTCATGACTACAGTCATGAAGGACATTAAATAATATTCCACAGGCTGCCATATGGGTAAATGGGTGGTTAATTAATTAACCAATGCACCATGTAGGGGCTTAAAAAATCAGATACATGTGAAATGTCCCAATGTCTGGGAAGAAAATAAATCTCCATAGACTAATGCCTTCTTGGCTGTGAAAATTATAAGAGGCTTAGTTCTTTATTTTTCTTCATGTAATTGAGTGAGGTCTAATGTGAGGTAGTAAGGAGAGGTTCACTGGGGCTTTGATTCAGAACAAAGTACCATACTGGTTAATCTGGAGAGAGAAGACATGCCTTCCGCACTCATAAAATGGATGTGAAGATAACGGTTAAATTCAAAATTCAGTATTGCCATGGAGGCTACAGTCTGGTTTAATAGAAAAGCTACATTTTTCATACAGTTTTTCATGGATATTAATAAACCAAATTTCTTTGAACGTTGTCAGCAATAACAGCGATGAAAAGCTGATGCACTAATACAAAACATAGTTGGTCATGAGAGAACATCCAGAAAGAGAATTCCCAGGTTGTGACAAACAAGCATAGATGATGGTTATAAAGAAATAGAACAACTATTTGGGAAAAATATTTTTAGATACATGAGGGACATATAGCACTGGGAAGAAAATGAGTGCAGATTATGTTCTTCTGGGGAGGGGTATATAATTTCCCTTAGAGGTTAGTGCCCATGGTTGCCAGTACCTAAGGTGCTGAGCAGCTGTATTTCTCAGCAAATCCAATATGCAATTGATACACCAAATCCAGGCCACTGGATAATACTATAATAGTCTGTTTATTTCTCCACTGACATAAGTATTTCCTCCTTACAAATGAGAGAGAAAAAGATAAAGTCCCTTTTTTGAAAGGCAAACCCAAAACAGATGCCCAACAGAATTCCTTGGTTTCTGTGCAAGAGTAATGAGAATTTAAAAGACTTGAATCTTTATAGTTTACTTGCTGATTCTTTATATTTTTTCCAGTTAAGACTATTCTTAATCCATGTTATATGCACCAGTTCAGAATTCATCTACGGGAACCCACATTGATAATCCCTTCTTCTGAAATAGCTCAGGGCTCTTGTTCTTTCTTAGTTATATCTGCAGCTAATTTGAAGCTCATTAGAGGACATATGAAAAGTTTTATACTTTATTCACCTCCAGAACACCTAAAATAGTGATGAATACTTTTAAGTGCGTATACACAAAAAGTATTTGTTGAATAGCTGATAACTGGTTAAGACAAGAAATCCTTGCAGTATTACAAAGTGCATGCTAGTCGCAATGCAGTGAATTTAGAGAACATATATATTTTCAAATTATATTTCATTTAAAATTATAGATGTCCTTACCTTACCAGAGCCTTCATAATTTTGATAATATACCAATACAGCAATTTGTGGATGATTCATTAGCATTTAATATTTTCTGGGAGAAAAAGAATAGCTAAACAGATAAGATAATATCAAGCTAGCTACTAAAATAATTTCAGAATTAGTACGGCCTATGACTAACTCACAAACTAGTGATACTTATCTCAGTCCCCAGGGAAGAACTAATTCAATTGTAAGTGCACTCTTGAACATTTAGTCTTATTTGATTTGCTTTTTAAATGATTTCTACAGGTTTTTAAAAATTACTAAATAAAAGATTTTAGAGATTAACTGGAAAAAATGACTTCCCTTTTACTAATCTCTACTGCTGTAGAAATCTCACTGTTTTAATGCTATAATATATTATATTCATGCAATAAGAGAATATAGATGTAGTTCATTCTAACACACCTTTTTTCAATACCCCACACAGTGGCCCTACCCAAGCTTCATTAAATTAAAAGGATGGATTTTTTTTTATATTTACACACTATATACAAAAGAAAAATTATGTTGACTATAGAGTAGGTATCTGTTTCTGTTGGTATTCCATTTCTCTTTTTCTGTTGGCATTCCATTTTGACTGAACTTTATTGAAATACCATTTAAAAATAATTAAAATGCACGCATTTTAGTATACACTTTGATGAGTTAACATAGGAGGTCCTCAACCCCTGGGCCACATACCTGTTCCGGTCCATGGTCTGTTAGTAACTGGTGTACACAGCAGGAGGTGAGCAGTGGGCCAGCAGGCACTACTGCCTGAGCTCCGCCTCCTGTCAGATCAGTGGTGGCATTAGATTCTCATAGATGTACAAACCCTATTTTGAACTGGACATGCAAGGAATCTAGGTTGTGTGCTTTTTATGAGAATCTAATACTTGATTATCTGAGGTGGAACAGTTTCATCCCAAAACCGTCCTCCCTTCCCCACTGTCTGTGGAAAGATTATCTTCCATGAAACTGATCCCTGGTGCCAAAAAAGTTGAGAACTGCTGAGCTCTCAATACATCCACTAGCTTTTAAAGTTACGTTCTAAATTACATATATTCAAAAACAATTTTTCCATACATATTTGTGATATTTATTTAAATATGTAACTGTTTACCAATGTAACTAAAAATCAGATATGTACAGTATTGGGAAAATCATAGGGAAAATATGTATTTTATTTTGTATACTGTGACTAATCTAATTTTTCATTAGGAATAAAATTCATTTTTCTTCCATTACTGAAAATATCTTAGTTTCTTTTGGTGTGTCATATTTTCCTGATTTTTCATAATCATTATGTCCTTACATTTTTTTCTCCAAATTTTATTTTAGGATTGGGGGTACACGTATGGGTTTGTTATATTGGTAACTTGTGTGTCACAGGGGTTTTGTGTACAGATTACTTTGTCACCTAATAATAAGGGTAGTACCTAACGGGTAGTTTTTCAATCCTCATCCTTCTCTTACCTTCCATCCTCAAGTAGGCCCCAGTGTTTGTTGTTACCTTCTTTGTATCCTTGTGTACTCAATGTTTAGCTCCCACTTACAAGTGAAAACCCTAAATATTCTACACACACACACACACACACACACACACACACCCCGCACAAACACAAATTTGGTAAAATAGCAGAATACAAAATCAAAAGGCAAAAATCAATGGGTTTCTATACACTAAACATAAACAACACAAAAACTAAATTAAGAAAGTAATTCAATTTACAAACATATCAAAAGATATTTAAGAATTAACTTCATCGAAGAGGTAAAAGACATGTGAAATGAAAATTACCAAACATTGGTGAAAGAAACTGAAGAATGTACAAATAAATAAAAAACTCATCATATCCAAATCCATTTTAAGGTACATCCTAGGTTATTCTTATTTCTACACTGGATGAGTATTATTAATTTCATTGTATTTCTACTGAAATTATAGATAGTTTTGTATATATAATATTATGCAAGATTTTTGTAAATTGTTTCATGGCAAGAATTATGTTATCTACATCATTATTTTAGTATTATTACAGGCCTACCATGTAAGTCAATGGAAATTGAATACATGGTTTGTTTTTTTTTTCAAATTTATTGATCATAGCATTGATAAGTAATATCACTGCAGGGTTTTAGCTAGTAGAATTGAGAAGATAAATAGAAAAGTCATTTCTTCTCTAGGTTGTCCACACATACATCTTTTCAAAAGAATTTTTATGCCACCTGGTGAAAAAGATTTCACTGTAAGATTGCATAAGCATAATAAGAAGTATTTGATGATTTTTTAAAAATTCTTTTTATGGTAGATGGCTGCAGGTTTAATGAAACCAGGATTTCCAAGACTACTTTCCTTTTTGACACCAATTGCAAGTTCAGGGGTATTACAAAACCTAAGGTTCAATAATTTGCTAGAAGGACTCACAGAACTATTATACTCACAGTTTATTTTAGGTAAAAGATACATATTAAAAGCAGCCAAGGGCAGGGATGTATGGAGCAAAGTTCAGAAACGTTCCAAATGTGGAGTTTCCAGTGTCATGAACATTCTTATATTCCTAGCATCAGTGTGTGACAGTATGCACAGAGGATTTTCAATCTGGAAATTTCATCCAAGTCTCCATGTCCAGAGTCTTTCCTGAGGGTCAATCGTATAAGCCTGGTTGGCTGGCCACCTGGCTGACTTCATTCTCCAACCCCTTTGGAAGTTAAGCT